CGAGGACAGGGCCAGCCCCTGCCCGGGCGAGGCTCCGGGGAGAGGTTCCGCGCATCGGGGGCACCGGGCAGCAGCCCCCAGCCTCAAGGAGAACCCCAGCAGCACGGCACCATCCCCCGAGGAGCCTCCGCTGGCACAGGACACCCGTCCCCTCAGACAGATTTCCTCTGCAGATAATTCCTCCTCCACAGTGCTGAACAGGCTGGACTTTAATGAGCATTAAGTTTTTAAAAACCAGTTTAAGTAAGGAATAATTACAAGTATTAAAGCGATTACCGGCTTTGTCAGGCGGGCCTGTGTATTACTTGCGGCAGCGCGCTGTTTATAAACACTGCCCTCAGGCCTACGGCTGCGCTAGAAGAGCCGAAGAGAATAAATCGGAGCCGGACAATGCCTATTAGTGCACCTAATCCAACAGTTTGTCACTGCTGCTTCCCACAGTGTCTTCACTAAAGCTTTCTTCAGCGCAGGATTAAACCTTCTGAGCAACTGGAACAGCATCGCTTCCTTTGGAAATCCTTCCAGCAGCCAGGTGATGGCAAAGTGATGGATTTTGGAGGATCAGCAGCTAGACAGCTGAAGGTACCCGTTGGGACAAATTCCACATCCGCATCTCTTCGTTTTTCTCCTTGAATTCTCCTTCTGGGTAATTTTCTGGGACAAGCAGCACCAAATGCCCCCTTCCATCGGGACTGCACTAGTATCAACTGAGTTCACCTGAGTTCACCCCAGCTCAAACGAAGCCTCTGGCCCACATTTATGAAGGCTGCACGCCATCAGCAATGGTTTGGAGGACACCACTCAGCAGCCGTGTAGGAATCACCTCGCTCCAACGCTGGAAGCCGAGCCTGGAGCCCTGGCCCCGGCCGAGGAGGGACGGGCAGCAGCGTGGGTCACAGCCAGCGCGCGAGCTGCAGCGTCTCCTCTCCCGGCATGTCCAGGGGTAACAGCCTCCCACGGGAGAGGCTCACAGCTCCGCGCTGACACGGCTCCTTGCAGGTTAACCCTCCTCTGCGCGCTGCGGGAAGGGGCCTTCCGACTCCCAGTACGTACCCAGCGGCACGAGATGGCACCAGCCACCCGTCAGCAGCTGGCACCGAGACGAGCCAGCTGGGCTGGTTATCATCTATATATTTTAAGGATGAGGACAGCACATCTGCCCTCCTACGCAGCCACCCATATGCACAGTATTTCAACTCAAGGCTGCCAGTCCTTACAACTGGAAGACACTTTCTGGGAGCTTACAAGTCTTTTTATCTTTCTCCTCAGCCACGGGGGGAGACAACCACCAAAAATGCATGGAACAAGGGATGGGGGGGATCTGTTGGTCCTCTGAAGGTGTTGGGGCGTCCTTGCCATCTGATCTTCCTTCCCAGGACGGGTGGAAGCAGCACCAGATGACAGGGACGCTCAGCCAAGAGCACCTCGTGCCGCACAGCTGGCCAGCATGGCCAACGGCCACCAGCCATGGGGGTCCTCACTGCTACCCTCGCCCTGGGGCACGCAGGCAGCGATGGGAGGGGTAACGCAAGGAACGCACGAGGGGCAAGGACAGCTATGGAGAGAAATCGTCACCGAGGCAAAGCGGGCGCTGGCCACGTCAACTGGGTGCAGGGTGGAGCGGAGAGACCCCACCAAGGTCAGAAAGCAGCCGGCAGTTAGGACAGGAAAGCCACCATTACATTCACAGCGTTCATAAACTCTTACTGTCAGCCAGCGAGTACCTTAATGAACGTTTCCATATTGCCGTTAAAGAGTTTATGATTATAGACTGAGAGAGGCCTAGGTCTCCTCATTTTCTGTGGCTTAGGGGGAAGACATGGGGGCCTGGGAGAAAATGGAACAAAATAAATCAACAAAACACCAACATAAATGCAATGACAGGGTGAGATCTCAAAGGTTATGACCGAGAGTAAGAAATAAATCAAACAGAAAACCCCCTCCGTGAGGACTCGACACGTGGCTCCACGCACTCTGCAGCTGCTCACGCTTCAGCGTCCCCCCCTGCTGCGTCCCCCCACAGACACCGCTCCACCGGGAGCCGGGGGACCTGCAAAGAGATCGGCTCCACACCTCCACGTCGTGCACAGCGCATCGTGCCCCCAGCGCAAAGCCCCTTCCAGCAGCTTGGGTCAGGCTACCCTGGCACTAACTTGGCTAACCCATTCTGGAGCCAGTGCCACGACAGCCTCGCTTCTGGCGGTCCCAAAGGCCAGGCTGAGCCCGGGTGCAGCTGGCAGGGGTCGGAACGGGCAGCAGAGCTAACCTGTAGGCAGCCCGGAGCAAAACCAGAGCTGTTCACTATACACTGCACACAGAATTTCAAGTCAGGGTCAAGACCACAGTGTTTAAGTCATAAATTCAAATGAACCTTGAGAACAGAAACATTTAACAGCAATAAGCCAGCCCACCCATTACTTTCCATCCCTGTAATCTCCCACTGTTTCCCTATCAGAGAGGCTCTAACCTCAGCTGCAGCCACATGCAGCAACCTAACCAGGTAGTGCTACAGGCCTCCTGAGGAGTCCTCATTCCTCCTGTAAAAACCAGGCATCTCCAGAAATCAGTCAGCGACAGAGCAGTAGCTATACCAACAACCACAGCTTGAGTGAACAAGGGGCGATCAGGAATGCTCTTCGTGCAGACCTTGCTTCATTCAAGCCAGACAGTAGTAAGGTGCTCATAGGCAGAAAGCGGGAACACCTCCGCCTCCCTGCAGGCACTTTCTGTCTGAGAGACATTCACAGGGATGGGAATGGTCTCTCACCTTTCTGCCAGGCACTCCTAAGATTCAAACCACCAAACAAACAGGTGAGCCCAGTCAACACAGATGAGCAAACCCACCAGCACCTCTGTAAGAACAGAAAAGGTAGGCCTGTGCATCAGCAGGTGGCATGACCCTACCCCTACTAGCTGGTGACTGAGGGTCCTCATCAGTCAAGGGAACAGACCCTGAAGACCCTGTTGACTTCAGCAAGTGCCAGAGACACCTATTGCTTCTGGAAACGAGCCCGTGGAAACATGGTACTTATTTTAGTGCAGCGATCAGGACGTTGGAGGGCTCTTTCATACGCTATTCACAGTTTGATTTCTCCTGACAGTGAAGGACATTAACAGCGAAGTGCCTACATCTAGACAAGGGAGAAAAACAGCACAACATCTCTAACCAATTTCTGAGCTGTCCTCCACCCCCAGGCTATACTGACGTCTGTGGAGGAGAGAACACAACTGCCAACAAACACGAGTGCTAGGAGCCTTCAAGCAAAAGTTCTCACAGCGCAGAGCCGAATGGACACGTACAATGTACAGAGAGCTACGATGCAAAGGTGACCGTTGTGATCTGCTGGTTCCTTAATCAGATGCCTTTAATTAAGCAGTCTGACTCTACACTCCTGTAGCTCCTAACCCCTCCTTCAACTGAGGAGCAGAAACGACTGCTGTCCATTCAGGCGCCCGCCCGACTCTCGGCCCTGCGCTGCAGACTAGAGACCCGGTGCTGTTTGCTGCCGCGTAACCTCCTCAGCCCGGGGGTGCCCGGCCCCGGCTCTACCTGCTGGGAAGGTTGTTCTGCTGCACTCACAGCCCTCCCTCGCACAAGGAGGACATTGTCTCATTTGTTTTCCCTTGTGAAGCACAAGCAA